CAAATATAAATAACACTGTTTTAATTAAATTTTTATTTTTTAAATTTTCTTTAATAATTTATTTAAATTATTAAAAATTTTCTTTTTTCTCTTTAATAGGGATTTTTTGTTTACTATAATAAATTTTAAATAATTTTATAATTTTGTAATTATTTATGTATTTATTTTATAACTTTACAAAACAATTAATGTTGTAATTGATTACAAAAGATTTTGTTTAATTATTGCTTTACAAACACGATTCGCGTGGTTTTGTTTAAAGCGTTTTTAATTTTTTTTTAATTTTTTTTTTTTATTTTTCAATAAATTTTGTTTTATTATAAAACAATAAAAAGCATTGGGAGTATTTAATAAAATTGTTAAATTTTCTTAATGAAAACGAAACAAAAACGAGAGAGTTTTTTTTTTGAAATAGAAAAACGAACGATTTTCTGAACGTTAAAGTGTTAACAGTGGAAGTAAAACGTTTAATGATTTTCAACGGATATGCTTTGTTGGTTTTATATTAAACATTAAACACTCACTAAATAAAAAAACTCAAAACGCGCACTCACAGTGGTTTTAAGACAGTAAAAGCCAAGCAGCAAAAACACAAAAGCTCATTAAACAAAACAAAGCTGAGCAGCAGCAGTGAAACACCACCAACCAGTCATGCAGTAAGCCAAACAACCACCTCCAGTTCAAACTGAAGGTTTATGCTTAAACCAAGCTCTTTGTAGTTGTTATTGCTTTAAGCTTTATTCTCTTAACAAAACAATTACAAGGGGTGAATTTTTTTTTTTTTTATTTTGTTCAAACATCAGAAACCTGTGAGTGTTTAAATGAGTGAGTTTTTATAACTTTACTCAATGCTTCTGCTCTTGAGTTTTAATCTGAGTTTATTTTTAGTTTTTAACTGAATTGTATTCTTTCTAATTGAAATTGACAACTTTTACTTATAAAAATAAATGTTTTTTTTAGCATTTCGTTTTAAAATGATTCATTTAGTATTTTTGTTGCTTTAGATATTTATTGGAAGTTCATTATACCTTTCACTGTAATTGTTTTACATTGTGTAACTGAGTGCTGAGTTCTTTCTATATTGTGAAATTGTTTTGTTTAACTGGAGATGTTAATGGGTTTTTGTAATTTCTTAAAAATTAATTGCCTTGTCCTCCAATTCATGCTTTCATTGTTAGTGATTTTTTTTTCATTATTTTAATAACTATTATTTAAAATAAATATATATATATATATATATTAGTTACAAAATGTAACGGAAATGTGGTATTGTTCTAGAAGTTAATTGAATAGTTGGCGAAATTATAGAAATCAGGAATTAACGGCATATTGTGTAATTATTTTAGGCTTAGGGCTAGTCAACAGAGTATACAATATACTAATATGTTCATAGACTATTCAATATATGTACTAGTACATAGGCTAGTCAATTGACTAGCCTATAGGCACTACAATAGACTGGTCAATAGACTGGTCAATAGGCTTCTCAATAGCCAATAGACCAGTCAATACACTAATCAACAGACCAGACTATAGTCTACTGACTGGTCAAAAGAGCAGTCACTTTACTAGTCAATAGGACTAGCAATCAATATTAGTCAATAGGACAATAGACTAGCCAACAAGGTAGTCAATAGACTAACCAAGTTAGAGAATAGTTAATAGATATCTCAATAGACTAGTCATTATACTAGTCAATATACCCGTCAATAGACAAGTTAATAGACTAGTCAATAGACTAGACAATAGACTAGACAATAGACTAGTCACTATACTAGCCAATAGACTAGACAATAGACTAGTCACTATACTAGCCAATAGACTAGACAATAGACTAGTCAATAGACTAGACAATAGACTAGTCAATAGACTAGACAATAGACTAGTAAATAGACTAGACAATAGACTAGTCAATAGACTAGCCAATATGTCAGTCAACACACTATACGAAAGACTAATAAGTAGACAAGTCAGTAGGTTAGTCAATATACTAATCAATAGACCAGTCAATAAATCATTCAATATTCTAGGCAATCAATAGACTACTGAGGGAACTAGTCAATAGACTAGCCAATAGACTAGCCAATGACTAGTCAATACACTTGTCAATAGAGTTCTCAATAGACTAGCTTAGTCAGCAGTCTAGCGTCTTCAATAGACTAGTCAAAAGTCTAATAAATTGACTAGTTAGAAGAATAGACTTCTCAATAGACAAGTCAATAGACTAGTCAATAGACTAGTCAATAGACAAGTCAATAGACTAGTCAATAGACAAGCCAATGAACTAATCAATAGACTAGCCAATAGACCAGTCAACAGCCTAGTCAATAGACTAGCCAATAGACTAGTCAATAGACTAGCCAATAGACTAGTCAATAGACTAGCCAATAGACCAGTCAACAGACTATGCAAAAGACTAATAAGTAGACTAGTCAGTAAAGTAGTCAATAGATCAGTCAATATACTAGGCAATTAATAGACTACAAAAGGGACTAGTCAATAGACTAACCAATAGACCAACCAATATACTACTCAATATAATGGCCAATAGACCAGTAAATAGACTGGTCAAGAGAGCAAGGACGAGTTAATAGAATAGTCAATAGACTATTCAATATATTAGTTAATAGGCTAGTCAATAGACTAGCCAATAGACCAGTCAACAGACTATGCAAATGACTAATAAGTAGACTAGTCAGTAGATTAGTCTATATACTAATCAACAGACCAGTCGATAGATCAGTCAATATACTAGGCAATCAATAGACTCCACATGTGGCTAATCAATAGACTAGCCAATAGACTAGTCAACAGATTAAACATGGGACTAATCAATAGACTAGCAAATAGACTAACGAATAGACTAACGAATAGACTACCCAATAGACTATTCAAGAAATTATTTAATAGACTATCAATAGACTAGTATATAGACAAGTCGATAGACAGTCAACAGACTATTCAATAGGCTAATTAGTAGATTTGTCAATATACTAATTAATATATCAGTCAATATACTAGGCCAATCAATAGACTACTCAAGAGAATAGTCAATAGCCTAGGCAAACGATTAGTCAATACACTTATCAATTGACTTGTCAATAGACTAGTCCAAAGAATAATCTATTGACTAGTTAGTAGACCAGTCAATAGACCAATCAATAAAATAGCCAATAGACCAATCAATAGAATAGGCAATAGACCAATCAAAAGACTAATCATTAGACTAGTCATTATATTAAGCAATAGAGCAATCAATAGTGTAGTCAATTGATCAATCAATTTGCTATGCACTAGACCAATCAATAGACTAGACTAGACAATAGACTTTTCAATACTCTTGCTAATGGGCTAGTCAAGTTCAAAATATGGGCTACTTACTTTACACTACATAACTTCGATGTTAAAATGTACAGACTTTTACAGGACTTTTTAAAATTAGTTAATCCTTAAGTTTATTACAATTCTTAGTCATTGAGTTTTTTTTAAATGTAAATGAAAAAATCCAATAAGTGTTTGAAATTCTATAAAAGTATTGTTTAAGAAAAAAAAAAAGAAATTTTTCAATAAAAATCTACCCACACCAAACAATTAATGAGTGGAATGGTAATTAATAAGAAATTTTATTTAATTTAAGCTCGTCACTAGCTACTCTTGATTTAAACGTCATAATTAAATTATAATACACAAAATTACGCAATTCACAGAACATGAAAGCCATGAAATGGATTACGTATAAAGTTTGATAAATTCCTTTTAATGGAATAAAATCCCAAATAACATTTAAAAGCTATTTATAAAACCTTTAAAGCAAATAACAAAATTTATGCAAAATACTTAACTTAACCGGTTAAAAATCTATTAAGTTAAATGGTGTAATTTTCTAAAAAAAAAAACCTAAAAAGGAAACTCTCTGTATTAGTAATCAGATTAATTCTTGAAATTGTCTTATTACATATAAATATAATAATAATAATAAAAAAACGTGTTAATAAATTTGTTATTTTTATAATAAGCCATTAAGTTAAATTAAACAATTTCTACCAACAAATGGTCCTTCGCTACAAATAAGGTATGTGTCTTAAGTCTTTCGTTTTCCTACAAACAAACAACTGAATTTTAAATATTTCTTAAGACCTCGTGTTTTATATTTTGATATTTATATGTTGTTTTATTCTTGTTTTTTATATATATTTCTTATTCTTGTTTTCTATCACATGACACTTAAAATAATTAGTTCTCTGTGAAACCTTCTTATGAACAAATTAATGCATTATTTATTTAACAAAAACATAATCTTTAATGTCTGTAATCTAAGTAGTTTCAAGTTCAAGGCCTTATATAAACACTGAAGTTTTACAACTTATATATACAACTTGTTGCTGTTCAATCGAAAACCAACATTAATATATAAAGATAAACTGTTCCAGTCCATATACTTTGAAAGTATAAAATATTTCTAAAACATTGACGGAATCTGAATGACTTGTCAATTTAGCGACAGGTGTGTGTGTGTGTGTATGTTCTAGTGGTTTAAGTAACTAAGAAAAAAAAGCCAACAAAACAAAGTCAATTAAATTGTTTAGCATTGTGAATTGAATTGTTAAGGTTTTTATTTTATTTAACGTTTAATTGATAACTTAAAACTATTTTTAATTATTTTATAATGTAAATAAAAGAAACAACAAAAAAATATGTATTTTAAATCATTAACACAATTTACAAGCATAATAACTATTGAATATTTCAATACTAAACAAAAAGGACAGTAAAAACGATTTTTTTCTATTAGTAACCACATACACCAGAAAAATATTGACAGTCATTGGTTTAAGAAACTAGTTTATTTTTAGCATTAAGTCGTGGCACGTGTGCTTAAAGAAACGGAACGGGATATTAAACATGTAATTGTGAATTGTAATAATAAATTATAAAAATAATAGTTTTAGAATTACAATTAAATAAAATTTGCAATAAGAATTTCAAATAAATAAACTTACCCATTTTTGAGCAAAAGTAAACTGGAAAGAATAAAAAATAAATAAAAATTAGTATCAGAATATACATATGTCTGAATATATATTTATAGGTTCAATATTGCATAAAAACCAAAAAGTACCAGTTAAACAACAAAAAAGTACCAAAAATCCTGTTTAATTTCACGTTTTTAGGTTCAATATTGTAGAATATTCAAAAAGTACCTTTTGAAGAAGGAAATAGTACCAAAAACTCCCCCTGTTCATACTTACATCCAACCTCAACTAGTTTAATTTCATGTTTTTAGATTCCATATTATGGAAAATTCATAAAATACGTTTTGGAGAACGAAAAAGTACCAAAAAGTCAAATTTTATAAGTTCTCATTTACTCCCAGCTCTACATGATTAATTTCTTGTTTCTATTATAGAAAATTCAAAAAGTACCTTTTGAAGAAGGAAAAAGTCTCAAAAAGTCTAATTTTATGGGTTCTCACTTAATCCGGGCTCTACATACTTAATTTCAAGTTTTAAGGTTCAATAATATAGAAAATTCAAAAAGTACCTTTTGAAGAACGGTTGAAGAAGGTTCTGCTTGAAGAACGGAAAAGTACCAAAAAGTTCCCTTTTATAGGTTCTCACTGACAGCGGGCTCAACATGCATAATTATAGGTTCTCATTTACTCCGGGCCCTACATGCTTAATTTTATGTTTCTAGGTTTCATATTATAGAAAATTCAAAAAGTACCTTTTGAAGAACGAAAAAGTACCAAAAAGTCTCACATAATCCGTGCTCTACATACTGAATTTCAAGTTTCTAGGTTCCATAATATAGAAAATTTGTAAAGTACCTTTTGAAGAACGTAAAAGTACTAAAAAAGGTCCCCTTTTATAGGTTCTCATTTAATTTCATGTTTTTAGGTTCTATTAGAAAATTAAAAAAGTACTTTTTGAAGAATGGAAAAGTACCAAAAAGGTCCCCTTATATAGGTTCTTACTGACAGCGGGCTTTACATGTAAAATTTCATGTTTCTAGGTTCAATATTATAGAAAATTCGAAAACGAGAAGGTACCAAAAAGGCCCATTTTATAGGTTCTCATTTACTCCGGGCCCTACATGCTTAATTTCATGTTTTAAGGTTTCATATTATAGAAATTTAAAAAAAGTTACCTTTTGAAGAACCAAAAAAGTACCAAAAAGACCCCTTTTATAGTAACACTTAGTCAGTTATTTATGAACCAATTTTTCTTTTTTCGAATAGGAAACTTTTCGACAGAATATTAAGTCCCAAAGATATCTGGTGTCTTCAGAAAAAATCAAGGAAATTTAGCAAAAAAAATATTTGTTGCTAAAAATTGGTCACTCCCTAGAGTTTTACAATTAACTAAAGTCCCCGTAAAAGGTCATCTTTCGAAAATTTCCCTGATGCTCATGTTAATGTCGACTTATAACATGGTTTTAATGGTGAGTACATACGATTCTAGTTAGGCGAACATAACAGTCTTATTTGTTAGGTGTTAAACTTTTTAATAAATATTTTAAAACAATATATATGATTTTGGTTAAAGATCAGCAGATCTTATGAAAATATTTGGGTGTATTGAAAATTTTAATTCTATTATTATTTTTAATCTTTTTTTCTATACAATTATAGATCAATGAAATTGTTTAATTGATTTTTATTTGTGGTTTTATTATAAGTTTAATTAATGTACAGTGGTTTAAGGAAATAAAAGAAAGGAGGATTTTATTGTGAAAAAAGTGGGAGTTTATTGATTTTATCAAACTATCAAAATATTGGTCGTAGTCTCAGAAAATGGATCATTATTAGATTTTTAGACAATCTAGCCATGTTCGTCTGTCTGTATGTTTGTATGACTGTTCATATGCCTGTTTATCTATCCACTTGTTTGTCTGTCTGTTTGTTTGTCTCTTTGTTTGTCTGGCAGTCTGTCTGTTTGTTTGGCTTTTTTTCTGTCTGACTGTTCGTATGTCTGTTTATCTGTCCATTTGTTTGTCTGTTAGTCTGTGTGGCTCTTTGTCTGTTGGGCAGTTTGTCTGTCTGTCTGTCTGTCTGTCTGTATGTATGTCTGTATGTCTGTATGTCTGTATGTCTATCTGTCTGTCTGTCTGTCTGTCTGTCTGTCTGTCTGTCTGTCTGTCTGTCTGTCTGTCTGTTTGTCTGTCTGTCTGTCTGTCTGTCTGTCTGTCTGTCTGTCTGTCTGTCTGTCTGTCTATCTGTCTATTTGTCTATCTGTTTGACTCTCCGTATGTCTGTCCATCTGCTTGTCTGACTGTTAGTATAGTGATATAGTGGCGCCCTTAACACGCCGAAGAAAAAGCTTAAGCTATAAAAATATCGAACTATAGGTCTCACAAATATATATTTTTTATAACCACAGTGCAAAGCCTTGTGGCAACTAAAAAAGTGCAAAAAACCTCAACAATATAATTATTAATTATACATTTGTGGTAAAGTAATTTATTTAAAAAAATTATAGTCCTATTGTTGGTTATTAAAAAGTTAAGAACAAAATATTATTAAAAATGTTCTTATAATTACATTCACAAAAACAAAATAATGAATAATTTGTTTAAAAAAAATCAATCATACAGATAGTGTTTGTTGTCTAACAAAAAAAACAAAATCTCTTTCAAATAATATAAATTAGTTTAAGGAAATATCAATATTCGTACAAGATTATAAATATTATTTAGAACTCATGGTATAAAAAGACTTGTTGTTATTTGGCTTTAAGTTGTCTATTGTATTGAAAAAGTGTGTTTTTTATTTATTATTATTATTTAAACTCATTTATTGTTATAAATAGGTTTATAAAAGTCTTTCAAATATTATTAAGTTTTATAAATAAGTGAGGGTCATTATGGTATTATTTCAAGTTATTGACTTTTTTAACTCTAATAAATTTGTTAAATAGTTTCAACGGTCAATAAACAGAAAACATGAATAATTTGTATGAGAAATAATAATAACAAAAAAATATGTTAAGGGTTCAATAAAACTTTTCAAGTATTTAAAACAACAACAATTGGCAACAATTTAAAAATTTCATTTCACACAGGAAGTGTTAATATAAATAAAAATGAAGTAATATGTATGAGCATAAAATATTTAAAAAATTTTAGCAAATAAATTCTTAATTTGCATATAAATTTGTGTAATAATTCTTGTGAAAGGGGTCTGTCCTGTTCTGATTTCAATACATTTTGCATTAATTATTATTGTTTTTTTTTTTTTTTTTTGAAACACACACGTGCATTTTAAGCCGGCTGCTTAAGGTGGGAATGTTTGGTTTTCACCTGTTTTTTTCTTTATTCTTATAAAAAGACTTAATTCATTAAAAACTAATTTAATAAATGTTTAATTTGTTAACACCTTTAACTTTAACTTAATTGGAAAATCCATTGCAGTGAATTAAAAGAAAAATAATTATGACATTTAAAAAGTCCGGATAATTGATTAAACAATAACAAATTGGGAATTACTTTCTTTAGGAAAATATCACATAATTTTAAATTATAATTATAAAGAAATTTTTTAGAATTGTTTTAAAAACAATAGCTTTTTCTCAAAATGACCCCACTTGTCAACTGGTTTGTTTTTTTTTATTTTAAAATGTGTTTTATTTTTAAATTTTAAATTTTACTGTTAAATGATGACTCCTCTAACCGTAATCATGTTTTGAAAGTAAAATTATTTGTTTAAGACGAGTCGCACGACTCAGCGTTAAATGTTTCTTATTTCCTTCCGTTTGTTTTGTTTGCAAAACCAGAATTAGTTAATTTTTAAGAACATACTTTACTAAATTGGGAGTGTTGGTGACAGGTACACATTCAGATAGATAGATAGATAGATAGATAGATAGATAGATAGATAGATAGATAGATAGATAGATAGATAGATAGATAGCTAGATAGATAGATAGATAGATAGATAGATAGATAGATAGATAGATAGATAGATAGATAGATAGATAGATAGATAGATAGATAGATAGATAGATAGATAGATAGATAGATAGATAGATAGTAGATAGATAGATAGATAGATAGATAGATAGATAGATAGATAGATAGATAGATAGATAGATAGATAGATAGATAGATAGATAGATAGATAGATAGATAGATAGGATAGATAGATAGATAGATAGATAGATAGATAGATAGATAGATAGATAGATAGCTCGCTCGCTCGCTCGCTCGCTCGCTCGCTCGCTCGCTGCTCGCTCGCTCGCTCGCTCGCTCGCTCGCTCGCTCGCTCGCTCGCTCGCTCGCTGCTCGCTCGCTCGCTCGCTCGCTCGCTCGCTCGCTCGCTCGCTCGCTCTCGCTCGCTCGCTCGCTCGCTCGCTCGCTCGCTCGCTCGCTCGCTCGCTCGCTCGCTCGCTCGCTCGCTCGCTCGCTCGCTCTCTCGCTCGTCTCGCTCGCTCGCTCGCTTCGCTCGCTCGCTCCCTGCTCGCTCGCTCGCTCGCTCTCTCGCTCGCTCGCTCGCTCGCTCGCTCGCTCTCGCTCGCTCGCTGCTCGCTCGCTCGCTCGCTCGCTCGCTCGCTCGCTCGCTCGCTCGCTCGCTCGCTCGCTCGCTCGCTCGCTCGCTCGCTCGATCTCTCGCTCGCTCCTCGCTCGCTCGCTCGCTCGCTCTCTCGCTCTCTGCCGGTCCTGGCTGGCTCGTCATTGACGGACCCAGTATATATGTATTATTATACATCTATGACCAACATTTCGTTATGTTACAAAGAACACGACAAAATCAATATACTCCCCAACTTTTCTGATAGAGGCTATAAAAAAAGTTCGTTTCCTAAATCTTTTGTTTGCATTCTTTTCAAATCAAAATTCAAAACTCATTAAAATAAAACAACAATTAACATTCCCCAACATAACTCCTCAACACTCGGCAATTTCATAAATCATCTAAACTGAAAACACAAAAATACATTAAAAAAAGCAACAGCATTTGAAAGCGATACAAAATAAAAATGTATAACAAAATAATCAATTTGACATCTATTAACGTTTTATG